CCAGTGACACGGCATTCTCTGCACACATGAATCTTACATTAACCATGTAGGCTGACCCATGTGCCGACCATTGTGCAGCTGCTCGGCGTCGTTGACGTGGCTTCGTCACGGCCACAACTCGTGCTCGAGTACATGGACGGCGGCGCGCTGCGGACGTACCTCGACAGCCGTCGGCGGTTCCGAACGCGCGTCGAGCTCGACACACTCACGATCGCGCATGCGATTGCTTCGGCGCTCGCGGCGCTGCACGCCCAAGGCCTTGTGCACCGGTTTGTGAGCTCGCTCAGCGTGCTCTGGAGCTCGACGCGCATCGCCAAGCTCGGCAACTTTGTCTTGGCCAAATCCACATCGCCCGATGTTGTGCTCACGCAGGGTGTCGGCGCCATGTTTTGGATGGCGCCCGAGGTCATTCGCGGCGACTATTACGATACCTCGGCCGACATGTACTCGTTTGGCGTGCTTTTGACCGAGCTGGATACGCTCCTGCCGCCGTACGGCTACCTCCGACAAAACCACTTTGTGACCATGGACCAAGTGAGCAAAGGACTGCTTCGACCCGAGCTCAGCGCGACGTGTGCGCCGTGGTATCGGGACCTGGCACTAAACTGCATGGCGCAAGACCCGTCTCTGCGTCCAACCGCTGCACACGTGTGTGCACTCCTCGAGCCGAAATTGTCGACACCAACGCGGCTCAAGTCGGGCCAAGTGCGCTCGGCCTTGAAGCCACTCGCGAGCTTCTCGCTTCCCACCATGTTCAAGACGCAGTTGACGTCCAAACGGGCTCGTCGCGACAGCAAAACCACTTGATGTGCGTGCTTGAAAACGATGTTTTATATGCATCTCACTACACCCTGTCGTGATGTATTGTGGACAGGTTGTCTTGACGTGGTCGGCTTGGAGTTTATTGGACGACAACACGTCCGGATGGATTCCGTTGTACACCTGATTTGGCGGCAGGGCGTCGTGCTTGACCGGTTTGCCTGTCGCTCTCGGTGTGCAGCCACGTAGGATGCTTGCTCCTCTTCGCAGTGACGTGGAGAACGTCGGTCGTAGCGACACCCTCGCCATCTGAAAGGTGTCCAGTGTGTTTCCGTGGTGCTAATAACACGCAACATTACTTCCTACGTGATGCTTGGTCAGACTTCTTCATACAGTAAAATTGCGTTGATCCAGCCAATTGGAACTAGCTTTTGTATGCGTGTCAATCCAAGCGATGATTTTGGCAGATTTTGGTGCCAAATCTGCAGTTTAGAGCCTTCACTACTAGACTCGTCTCGAACTACTCGCCGATTCTCTCTACCAGTAGTGACTAGTTGGGGTGTACGTTCGTGGCCTTTATTTCACAGTAGTTACAAGGGAGTGCGACAAACCACGGCTGGTAAATAGTGTAAATAGCTTGTCCACAACCGAAATGGTCTGCACGCAGACGCACCAGCGCCACGTAGCAGCGGTGTATACCTCTATATACACTCCTTGTACGATGCTCATGTTGTTTCCGACGCTGCACTGGGTGCCATCACGCGGAAAACCATCTTTCATTTTTGAGGTGGCAACCCAATTGCCCAAATACTTTACACGACATCACGGGGTTCGAACGTTCCAACGACCCCCATTTTGGCAGCCATAGTTGGCGATGGATTTCGACCCGGGCTGCGACGTGTTTGTTGGGCGGCGGCGTTGCTTGGGCGCTCACACCAAACTTAAAGTGCCGAGCGTCAGTTTTTACGAAATTCGACACCAAATCTCGGTAGCAAAGGCGTTGAAATCGCAAAAACCGAGGACGCCAACTCGTTTCCTTCATGAGAAAGAGTGTGTTGCACTTGGCGAAGGGAAGGTCGCATGCGCGGGATATGGCCCTGCTTTCGTTAGTACACTATTTCGGGTTTCCGAAATAATGTGAAATACTGTCACCGTCATTGCTCTCGCCACAGAGCTCCAACGGCGACGCTACGTTGCATTTCGTATTCCCCGAAGCGTTGCCAACGACTGTGGTGAGTAGGGGCGATTTCATTTTCAAACTTCGTTTAACTTCGTTTGGTCGATTCCTCGAGGCAATGAGCAATCGACACCCCAATATATGGCTATTTATGGTTGCAAATGGCGAGCGCCAATTCTAATGGGTCAACCATGTCGACGGAATTGACACGCTCGATGGCGCGCGGAAGACGCTATAACTAGCGCACTGATGTCGTTGCTGCGTGTCGCTTGGAGAGTATGACCTGGATAGATACTAGCACCCGTGTCCTGAGATCGTCAGGGCGCCCTCTTGCATTATCAGTGTCGAGGATAGAGCTGATTGTTATCCGCAGCACGTCGTCTTCGCTTCCTTTTCAATCACGGACAAGAGCGAGGAAGTGGCTTGCCACAAGCATGTGCCAGGTCCTCGTCCGCGACTCCTTCTCGGAAGGCTTGGCGCGCGAGGGATATGGCGTCCATCTAGAGACCCCGCGGGTATCTGGTGGCCACGTCACGGCACCCACGCTCACGCTGCGCGAGATTGGGCTCTTACGCGCCTGCTTCCAGCATCTTCGCCGAGCGCGCCTACAGCCACATGTTTTTATTGCATTCGCCTACCAGTTGCCTCCCAAGCGCTATTCAAAATCGCTCGTGGGGCTGCCACGTGCAAGGCTGATTGCAATGGCGTCATGTGATTGGCGGTTGCCAAATAGGCCTTTGTGGTTGGCCAAAATACGGGATAAATACGGCTTGTGAGTGGACGCCATATTTAATTCATTCATGGAAAAGGCCGATGGCATGGCGTCGACGAGCGACTGGCACGGAGCCTTCATGCCAACGAGCAGAGCAGGCTCTGGCGGCGCCGGCCGTGGCAGACTCGAGAGTGCTTTCTTGGTGCTGCCCAACGAGGCAATATCGTGTGCGGCGCCAAGGCGTAGGACCCAGCTGCCAGTCCATCGTCGCCACGACCCGCCGGACGGCGATCGAGCGGCCCTTCGCTTAGTAGCGCGCCATGGCCGACGCGCCGAGCCGATGACGCCGCCGTTGTACGAGCCTGGATCGCGCGCAGGCTGGCGGAGACGACGCTAATGTCGATCGAGGCCGTCGTGCAGTACTAGCACGGGAGCATGCGCGACCCTGCGTCGCCACGTACGCATTTCGACATTAACGATGAGCCACTGCAACAACCTTGGTCACACCTTGGCCTTGCAGCGCTGGACCCAAAACCATCTGTTTTCCGTGCTGACGACAACCCGCCCAGTCGACGTGGTGGTAGGACTCGAGGTCATCGCTATCGTGGGCGCCTCATGGTCGAGCTACGATAGACCGCCGAGCTTCTACTTGCCGCTGCTGCAAACGACGTGCCTCGCATCGGTGCGGCGCTCGCCGATGGCGCCGACGTCAACGCGCGCAACGAGGTCCCGGCGCTAGTACTTCATCATCCACGAGCTCACGATGGCGGGCACGACGGTGTAGGCGGATGCGACGCCGCTGGACGTGGCGTGCGGCGAAGACCGTCTCGATGTGGTCACGTGCTTGCTCGCGCACCATCGTATCGACGTGACCAAGGTCCATGGTCTGTTTCTCTCCGTCCTGACTTGTAGTAGGCGTCGCCCACGCTTTGGTGGACCGTTTGTAAACGCGGCGCCGGTGCGATGGTCGCGCAGCTCCTCGCCCATCCCACGACAAATTCAATGGCGCTCCTACCGGTACGGACGCTCTCCGTATCGACGCCAGTGGCTTGTAGCCATGAGACTAGAGCGGGTGGAACGTGCTTATCGCGCGTTGCCGCACGCCATGCATGGCCGAGATGCTGTCGCTTTTTGTGGGCCATCCGCGCGTCGACTGGAACGTCCCGATCGACGGCCGCTGACTTTCTCTGGATGGAATCTATTGCATGATGCGACTAGGGTGAGACACTGCTCCAGCGCGCCGTGCAAAAGCAAAAGTGGCATAACGTTGCGGTGCTGCTGGAGGACCCGCGCGTGCATGTCAATGTGGTACATGGCGATAGACGGAATCATCGAGGACGTCCACACGTGCATTCGACAGGAGGGCACGACGCTCTTGCATGCGGCGTGCGACGCTAATGTCGTCTTCGCGCAGCTGCGTCGGCCCGACATCCATCGGCATGTGCAAGTCGCGGTAGTACGTTGGTATACCATGCCAATGCAATAATGTGCCTGTAGCGCCGAGGCACAGCGTTCGCCTCGGTTGTCGTCCATGGCAATCGCGCCATCTTGGAGCTCTTTCTTGCTTTACCCGACGACGACATCAACCTTCCGAACGATGTATCGCGTAGTCGAGCGCAACACATAGGATGCAGGTACAACACATATGTAGGACGGCATACCACCGCTGCACCTCGCTATCGGCAACCACAACGACGAGCACATCGCCCACCGTCTTCTTTGTGAGCCACACTTGCGTCGTGACGCAACCAACGCGGTTCGGTATTGACGTCGCCGCTTTCACCCTAACCCTATATCCATCATTCTAGCTCGGCAACACGGCGCTGCATATGGCCAGTCAGCGCGGCTGGACGTCGTTGGTCGAAGCACTCCTTGACGCCAACGTGAACGTCCAGCATACGGTACATATGGTTGTCTGTTCAAGGAGATGGACGACCGTAGTGTAGGCTGGCGACACGCCGGCGAGCGTTGCGCTCTTGCACGGCCAGTACGATCTCGCGCTGCGCTTCTACCGCGACGTTGGACGTGCGTCGCTAGAGCAACGGGTTGACACCGCTGCTGTGTGCGTGTCGGCACGGCCACCTGGCGTTGGTGCGCGTGCTGCTGGCGGTCTCTGGCTTGAGCGCGACGTCACGGACCAAGTACGTTCGTGGCCTTTACCGAAATGTGACTTGGATCTGTCCCGGGCTACTAGCATGGCAACTCGGCCCACATGCTCGCTTGCTACACAGATTTGCGCGTGTTTTTCGCCTTGTGGACCATGCGGGACGACGAGATGACGGCGACAAATGAGGTATGCAATGGTACGCGCTTCGATCCTGTGTACGCCTCGATGATTAGGCCGGTCGCACGATCTTGCACGTGGCCTGCCAATATGGCCGCGAGGCCTTCGTGGCTGCGCTTTTACCGCGTACCATGAATGACGTGAATGCGCCCGATACGGTGTCGTATATCTTTCGTGAGTTGTCAAGGTGTCATGGGAGACGGTAGGATGGCAACAAGCCTCTTCTCCTGGCCTGCATCTCCAACCACGGAGCTGTTGTGACCCAACTCTTCGCCGTGTCCGAGATCGACGTCGACCGTGCCGACAAGGTGCGCAACGTCCTGGCACCGCGAGTCGTCATGGCGAGCGTAGCTGGGCCGGACTCTCCTGCATGTCGCGTGTGAGAGTGGCCACGCGTCGGTGGTCGCCGCGCTACTGTCGGTCCACGCCAATGTGCATGCAATCGACAACGTACATCTATCTCACGTTGTGCAAGAGACACATCATGACAGGATCGCGTAGGATGGCAATACGCCGCTGCTCGTCGCAAGTGTGGCCAACCATGCGTCGGTGGTCACGCAGCTCCTGTCGGTTCTACCTGTCGACATGACGAGAACCAACAAGGTACGAGGGTCATGATATACCACTTCCATGCATGAGATCCTATGGGTACTAGGACGGACGAATGGCGCTGCATGCGGCCGCGCGGGCCGGGCATGTGCGCGTGCTTCGGTTGCTACTCGAGGCGAGACCCGCGGCCATCGATCTGCGCAGTGGCGTACTAGAAAGCGCGTATGTGCATCTGTCGAAAAAGCATGTGCCTGTAGGATGGCGCGACCGTCCTCATGGAGGCTGTCGACCCCCGCAAGCCTGGCGCCGTGACGTTTCTGCTGCGCCATCCGTTTATTAACGCCAACGCCGTCGACAAGGTGCATTTCACTCGACTCGAACGCGTCTCGGCGTCCATGGCACGGCTGGATGTACATACTACGACGGCAACACGGCGCTCATGCGGCACTGCATGCGCAGTCACTATGACGTGCTCGACGCGCTCCTCAGCAGTCCCAAGGTCGACATCAACCGTCGCAACCATGTCCGCTTCCTTTCGTTACGAGATCGTTAAGAAGTCGCTTGCTAGGCGTGCCATGCGAATGACCCGATGCTGGCGGCGCAGCTCATGCAGCTGCCCCAACTCGACGTCTCGACCATCGATGCGTCGGTACATGCCCCGTAGCAACATCTTCTGGGTACATTTACCGGAGGGAATATGATGCATTTAGTGTGGTCATATCGCACTGGCGGTGGCGTGTGCGCTGCAATATGTGTATGTGGTGCGAAAGCTGCTGTCGTCGCCCGAGATGGACGTCCACTATCGGGATGCGGTACCTTTTACGGGAGCCCTAGCCCTAGGATGGACCCCTAATCCCTTGCAATGGATCCGAGCGGACTCACGACGCTGTTGCAAGTGTGCCTCAACGAAGGCAACGTCAAGATTGTCCATTTGCTCTTGCAAAGGCCAGAAATAGACACCCGCGTGCGGGACAAGGTACACTGCCATCCTACCACGCCCGCTGCGTCACTGCCGTTTGGCTAGCACGGCAACTTGGCGTTGATTTTAGCGACGCGCCAAGGCCATCCTGGTATCGTGCGAGCGTTGCTGGCGCACGGTAGCTGTAATGTCAACGCCGTCAACGACGTACGTCCATATATTTTTTCTTTTTGGCGGGTGGGTTGAGCTCCTCCATCGGAATTGTGCAGGCAGGAACGTCGGCGCTGCATGCAGCGTGTCAAGCTAGGAACGCGGTGGACCTCGTGGCGCTGCTATTGCGCTCGCCATCGATCGACGTCAACTGCGTGGACAAAGTAGAGCTTTCTTGGAGGCCATTCTCGGGCAAGGACACACGCGTTTTTAGAAAGGACAGACCCCGCTCATGATTGCTTGCGTGTCCGCTGCGGATGCTGTGATCGACCTCCTGCTCGATCACCCGCGTATAAATGTCAGCACGTCTGGCCACGTACGTTGACGTTTTTTTGCTCCAGGCAATTCTGTGACCGACTTTTGTGTAGGAGCACTATGGACCACTGCAGATTGCAGTGCGTCAGCGTGCAGTCGAGGTGGTCACGCGACTGATCCAGCACCCGACTGCCATCGTCGAGGCTGTGGACGAGGTATGATGATGATGACCGGTTGTGTGTGTAACTTGTGACGTAGTGGGTCTTTTCGGCGTGGGTACGGGCCGTCAACAGCCAGCATCTACCGCTTTTAAGCGCGCTGGCGGCCCGTGTGGACGTCAATAAGGCGCTGGTTATGCCCGGCCGATCGTGCGACGACGAGCAAAGACGTGCTCGGATGGAGAGGGTGCATTCCGAATCGTCGGTCGGCGCGGACCTGCGTTGGATGCACCCCAAGGTCGAGTGGGTGGCTTCCACCAATGGCCGCGAGTGCGCCGATGCGAGCGTGGCCAGCTGTGTACGTGCTTTATTGCTAGGCTGGACGATCCAAGTCCATGCATCGAATCGTCTTGTGTTGATGGCTGTATGTAGAAGACAGGCAAGACTGCGCTCATGGTCGCGTGCCTCTACAGCAACGAAGCCATGGTCGACCTTTTGATATCGCAGCCAACGATCGACGTCAACGCGGTCGACACGGTATATAAAATAATTGTCGTATGTTTCGGTGTTGATGTATCGCGATGGCGACTTTAGGACGGCAACACGGTACTCCTGCACGTGGCCTTTCTGCACCCGAGTGCCGAGCGTATCTGGCGCCGTCTCTGCGACGCTGACCGTCATGACGTGACGATGACCAACACGGTATATAAATCCCTAGCCCTTGTTGACGATAGCGAGATGGGCTGTTGTAGCGAGCCGAAACTGCGATCGAGAGTGCAGGACGTTGTGGCAATGCAAGCACAGCAGCGTACCTCTCGCAGCAGCTGCTGCGTCGTCGCCATCCGAGAGTGCTGCCTGAGATTATTGTTGATGCGATTGCCGCCTTCTTTGTCGGCCCCGGACTTTTGTAAGCCGAACACGCAACGTCATACCCGTGACCGCCACACCATGGCTTCTGCACGATTTGAACTTGATTGAAGCAGTAGCCTACCAACATGACATGGCGATGAAACGCCGCCGAGACCTTTGTTTGAGTTGCCATCGGCATGACAGGCCGCGCCGACGATCCCATGTGGCACTACATTGTCTTGGCTACTATGTATCGACGCGCATTTGTGTACAATAATGTCGTTTGAACCGCCTTAGTGCCGAGCTCCGACCCAACGTACATGACTGCAGTCGACGCGACGGCAACACTTTTAGATCCCATGAGGACGCAACCAGTCGCTCCAGCAACCGACCGAGTTGAGACACTGTCTTCCACTGAGCTCTGCTCAATGACTTGAATGACTACTTGCACCCGACGGGCACGCTTAAGGATAGTGCGTAGTGGTCATTATTGTATTAAATTTTCAGGACTGCGATGGCCCTTGTCGTCGTCGTCGGTGGTCGCGACTTGAATCCCATGTCCCGGCGTCCGATGCGACACGTGGCGCCATCTTGCTCGTCATGGCGGCCAACTTCAACGGCGCGGCCAGTGCAAGATCTTCAACGGCGACGTTTGATTGGCTGACCGATTTGGATTTTGGCCAACGGCAGGCTATTTTGATCCGCGGGGTTGACGCCCGACAGCGCCATATCCCATCGACCTACAGCATGGCCACGCGCAGCTCGCTCACGATCTCGACGGACCTCAACAACGACGCGGCGCCGCCGGCCGCGGACGTGAGCTTCTTCGACAAGGCCGCGCTGCTCATCGCGACCAAGCTCATCAAGGACGACGGCGACGAGGCCAAAGCATCGGCGTCGCCGACGTGGGGCACGGCCATCAAGCGCGACAAGTTCCAGGACATGGACCTCCTCGAGAGCGGCAATGCGCGCGAGTACATCTCGGAAGAGAGCCTGAGCCCGACGTCGGCCAAGGCGTGGACGTACAGCACGGTCCATCGCATCAACAAGACGCAGTACAAGTACGCGATGCATTTTTTCGCCGCTCGTCGCCTCATGCAATCGCGTCGTAGGATGTTTTGGAACAACGACCAGTTCCTCCTGAGCGCCAAGCAGCACAATGGCATCTTTTACATCTCGCAATACGAGCACTTTGGCGACACGGACATGGAGACGCCGACGTCGCACTACTGCGCGGTCCTCAAGTACGACCCTTCTTCTTCAAGGTTGGCCATGGTATGCACGTGGTGGTGCTTCTAGAAAGACGACCGACAACAGCTTCAAGCTGTACAACTGCGGCTGCGAAGGCTGCGACATTGGCTTTAGCAAGTACACGTGCTCGAACGACCACGAGTCGAGCAGCTTTGGCTTTCACGAAGAAACCGGCGAGGGCGCAGACCGCCAGCTCCTCGCCGACGTCTCGCACTTTACCAAGGTCGTGAGTGGCATTTCCAGCGAGATGCGCTGCCTCAACGTGGTGATTCCCGCCGTTATGGACGATGCACGGTCGCGCGTCATTTGGTGGTATGCGCTGCCATATGTGCTTTGTATCGTGGTCTCAATACTGCAAATGGTAGCCCGCGCATGTGCCGGGGGGACACGCCGCTCGGAGGCACACCCCGGACGTCGGCCAAGAAGGAGCTCGTGACGTCGCCGTCGCCGCACGGAAAAAGACCATGTTCACGTTTGACACGCCCGTGAGCGACCGCATCAAGCTCGTAAGCAAGCTGCCGTCGTGGTGCTCCGAAGTCAACTCGCTCATCATGAAGTTCCACGGCGGCCGGATCCGCGAAGCGTCGGCCAAGAACTTTATGCTCGTGCTCGACGACGACGACGACAAGCCCATCTTTCAGTTTGGCAAATACTCCAAGTCGAAATTCTCGCTCGACTTTCGGTTCCCGCTGGCACCGATCCAAGCCTTTGCGATTGGGCTCACGTCGTGCTCGTGGAGTGCCAAGTCCAAACTCAACAATTGAGTACTACATCGATCGATATCCGATGAATGATTAAATCCTATTTTTCCGATTTTAGCTGCGATGGCAATGATGCTCTGATTGGTACAGGAGGCGCCGGGGTGCGAAGAGACATCATGGCTGCATCTTCAGAAGTAGCACGTATGCGTTCTGCATCGCAACGACAGGTCGCGTCGTCGTCGGAAGCTCAAAAGTCAGCACTAACTTTCACTCGCGCTCCATGTTGCCAAGCGCTCGTGTGCCGACGCGCCATGATGCTTGCGGGATCTGACAGCTTCGTGCTACTTGGCGTAGTATTGCTTTGAGATCAACGCGGGTACTGCATTTATCTGCCCACATCCTAAAGGGTACTCGCATTGTACTGCAATTAGCAAAAAATCGGCCACAAATCGGGTGCCCAAGGCAGTGTTAAAGCAATTTTAGACCCATGCGCGTGCGGGATTTCACCCACCACCATCGAAGTCGAAGCCCCCGAAACACGTTTAGTGGCGGTACCTGTTCGATCTTGCTCCTTAACTCTGGGTTTGCCTCGCACAACAATTTTTTTCGGTTTGAAAAAGTTGGAGCTGCAGAAGCCATCGACGCTCGTTACATGCCTCGATGGTTTCAATGACCAGTTTGCGAACCGATGGCCGACAACGGCGTCGAGGTCGACGTTGTGCGCAACCCGTGGGTCTCGCTTGCGCTGCAAGACTCGGCCTTTTTCCAATGGAGCTCGTCCGTCGCCAAGCCGGTGCGACTTCGGCGCGACAGGTGTCTCCTGCTGCCTCTACATTGGTGCAAATGCGGCGACTAGTGACTTTGATATTATGGACAAGACGCTGCAGTCGCACGCGCGGTACACGCCCGAGACAGAGCCCGAGAATGAGCTCGACTTTCCTCTGGTGTTTCAGCATCCAAAGCACCGCGCGTCGCGTCTCACGTACGTGTGCAATATCGTCTTGTTGTCATGTATAGCTTTTTTTACGAAAACATGATGATGTGTAGAAAGGTGCGACCTGTCTGTCCATGCCACGCCACGCCACAACCGTAGGCATCTGTGCGCATTGCATGCGACGATGACGCCGACAGCGACGACTCGGACGACGCGAACGAGCCCACGCCGCCCGTCAACGGTACGCGTTCCTGCCAGCAAGTTTTTGGTCTTGAGGCAGCCTAGCCCCCGTCCACCCCCTCCTCGGTCGTCTCGACCTCGACAGTGTTTTGGGCGCGCTGCCCAAAGCCGTACTAGTGCACGCTTTGTGCTCGAGATTTACGTGACCTCATGAC